CCCCAAAACCCCAAAACCCCAAAACCCCAAAACCCCGAGTTACATAAAAAATATTGGATAATCTCTTAGTCACAAAATTTACACAGAAGATTGTAAACAAGTAAATTATTCCAAATTCTTGAGAGAAACGATACTTTGGTTGTATGCTTCGATTTCATTCTGTAGCTTCTCAAGTTTCTTAGCGTTCTCCTTTTTGACACTCTCAGGCATCTTAGCTGCAGCCTTTCCGCTCATCTTCTTGTTGGTGGCCTCGATCAACTTCTCGTTCTTTCCTTTGAGCTTGTTGAGTCTAGCAATTTCTTGTTTAATATCAATAATTCCTACAATCTTTACGAAGATTGTGAGACCTTCAACAGCCTTGGAAATAGATCCGGATGGGTCTGCAGAATCTGCAGCAGCAATGCTTACGGAGCCTGAGAAGGTGAGAGACTGAATCAGTTCACTTGCTCCTCCGTAGAACGAGGCATCAGAATTAGTATCAAGCTTAATCACTACTTCAGGTTTGTGATTCTTTTGGATTCCAATCTGATCGAACATGGACCTAATCTCAGCATTTATGGCAATCAAACTATCAAATTTAGTGGCTAAGTCATCGTCACCCTTGAACTCCTCCACAATCTCAGGGTAGCTGGTCAGATAAATCGAGTCCTTCTTCGTGCCTTCAGCATGAGGCAATCTCTGATAAAGCTCCTCAGTAATGTATGGCATCATTGGGTGGAACAAACGTAATGAATAATCCAACACTGTAAACAAGGTATTCAAAGCAGCTTGTCTTGTATCTTCATCTTTGCCTTGGAGGGCTACCTTGCTTGATTCAATGTATACATCACAGAACTTCTTCAGGAAGAAGTCATACAGATCATTTGCAAAAGCTCCATAGATATGACTCTCCATGCTAGCGTTACTTGAAGTAATTATTTTGTTTAACTGAGTGAGGATCCAGTTATCAGCTAAAGATAGCTTGCAATCAGCAATAGACTTTAGCTCAAATCCGTCTTTGCTGTAGTTGAGGAAGAGCTTGACTGAGTTCCAAATCTTTGAACTAAAAAGCCTGTATCCAATAATCCTATTCACATCTAAATTGATGCTTCTTGGCTGAGTCATATGGGTAAGAAGGGAAAACCTCAGAGAATCGCTACCGCATGGAGGAATTCCGTCAGGGAATTCTTTCTTTTTCTCCTTAAGTCCCTTCTGAATCTCCTTCTTGTCTAAGTTAGATTTCTGGAGCTTATCTTGGAGAGTCTGGAGAGTACATCCATCGATCACCTCAAGAGGGTCAATTACATTTCCGAGAGATTTACTCATCTTCTTTCCAGATTTATCCTTTACTAATGGATGAAGATATACTTCTTTGAAAGGGAGCTTATCGAGGAAGCAGAAACTCATCATTACCATCCTAGCTACCCAGAAGAAGAGGATATCATGACCTGTCTCAAGAATATGGTTTGGGAAGAAAGCCTTCATATCAGCAGTGTCTTCATTTGGCCATCCAAGAGTGGCGAATGGGAATAATCCTGACGAGTACCAAGTATCCAATACGTCTGGATCTTGATGAAGAGTCACTTTTTCTTTTTCTACATTATACTTCTTAGCTACTCTCTCAATAACTTCTTCCTGACTTCTGCCAATCTCCCAGTGTGCATCATTAGAAGTATCAGGTTTGTCAATAACTCCTTCAACTTGTACCAAGTATGCTGGGATTCTATGACCCCACCATAATTGCCTACTAATACACCAGTCTTGAATATTGTCAAGCCATTTGAACCACTCATCATTGTAGAATTGAGGGATAAGCTTCAAATCTCCATTTCTTACAGCATCTGCTGATCTCTTGGCCAGATCTTTGCAGTTTACCCACCATTGGGGCTTAATCAGGGGCTCAATTATATCACCGGTCTTGGCACATCTTCCAATACTCATTGGGTTTGGTGTCTTGCCCTTGAAAAGGCCAAGAGCAGTAAGCTCTTCTTCAATTTCTACTCTGACGTCAAACCTCTTCTTTCCCTCGTACTTTCCTCCGTTAGCATTGACAGTACCGTCTTCGTTAAAGATGTTGATTTGCTCAAGCTTATATCTTTGACCACAATTGTAATCATTGTGGTCATGGGCTGGAGTAATTTTTACAGCACCAGTTCCGAAGTTCATATCAACAAGCTCACCATCAGCAATGATGACCATCTTCCTCTCCTTAATAATTGGATGCTCAAGCTCCTTGCCGATCAGGTCCTTGTACCTTTCATCGTCAGGGTGTACAGCTACTGCTACATCTCCGAGCATAGTCTCAAGACGAGTTGTAGCTACTTCAATTTTAGTATCTGTCCCTTTTACTGGATATAAAAAGTGGCTGAGATATCCAAACTCGTAGGTCTTATCTCCATGACCTGGCACCTTCAGTTTTTGTGGCTTATCCAATTCAATATGGTCTACCTCAATATCAGAAAGAGCTGTATTGAGAGCGCAACACCAGTTCACAAGTCTAGTGTCTCTGTAGATGAGACCTTTCTCGTGCATCCTGACGAAAGCTTCCTGTACAGCTTCTGATCTTTGCTCATCAAGAGTAAAAGCAAATCTGTCCCAATCGAGGGCACAGCCGTACCTTTGGAATTGGTTTACAATTTTTCCGCCATACTCATTCTTCCAGTTCCAGACTTGCTCTACAAATTTTTCTCTTCCGAGGTCATGTCTGGTGGTTTGGCTCTCCTTCCAGAGCTTGCTCTCAACTACGCTTTGAGTAGAGATACCAGCATGGTCCATTCCTGGGAGCCAGAGTACCTCATATCCGCTCATTTTCCTCCATCTAGTGATACAGTCCTCAATAACAAGCATGAGAGCGTGTCCTAAATGCAAAGCACCTGTCACATTTGGAGGAGGAATCATCATTACATAGGGTTTCTTAGCCCCACTAGAGATGTTCTCTGGATTGGCATGGAAATGTCCTTGCTTCTCCCACCAAGAGTACCAAGCACACTCTACAAACCTTGGATCATAGTTCTTTGGAAGCTCTACAGTCGTATCTTTCTTCTCTCCTTCGGGTGTAGTGTTTTTGAACTCTTCTTTATCAAGATTCTTCACAGCTTGTGCTCCCTTCTTAGCTTTGCCACCTTTCTGTTTCTCTAATTCTTTGCCTTTATGAGTCCACTCAACAAGTCTCAGCTCCAATAGGCTGAGAATTTCATCGTTGTGATAAATATCCATTTAATTTATTAATCCACTAAACTCACACAAATTGGGGTTTTGGGGTTTTGGGGTTTTGGGGTTTTGGGG